ATCCTAGAAGCCTACTTGCGGGGCTGCTCCTTTTCACTTTGAATCACACACAGCGGGGGTCTCCTCGAGCCCATGGGGAAGCAGTAGGCTCTCAGTTAGGACTTCTAGGACCATATGGTCATGAGAAGGGATGCTGGGATGAACAAGCAACATTTGTCAATTCAGGAAGCCTTTTTGTTTTGTGGGGAAAAAATATTGATACCTATAAGGCAAACAAATTCTATTGAAACACAATGTATTTCACACATATACATGAGCCAGAAGGAAACTCAAACCATAATGTGTCTGAGTTTTTATTTGTTTATAAATAATAACTCAGTCTCACTCTTTCATCCAGGCTGGAGTGCAGTGGTGTGATGACAGCTCCCTGCAGCCTCTACTTCCTGGGCTCAAGTGATCCTCCCTCTTCAGCCTCTTGAGTAACTGGGACCACAGGCATGCACCACCACGCCTGGCTAATTTTTAAAAACTTATCTGTAAGGAAGGAATCTCATTATGTTGCCCGGGCTGGTCTCAAACTCCTGGGCTCAGGTGATTCTCTCACCTGGGCCTCTCAAAGTGCTTGCAGAGGACAGCAAGAACTTCAACGAGTAGATCAGGAGGACTTGGGAGACGCTTGGCACCCTCCCCACCACACAGGAGGAAGACCACCTGCTGTCCTGGATGCTCTTCCCTGAGGAAGCCCTTGTGTCCGTTTTTGTATTATAGTGTTTCCTGCTCACCACACAGGAATTACGGCTGGCAGGAGTGAAAGAGACAGACTTTCCACATGGCATTTTCCATTCTTGGCAACACTGTAAAAAGCAAAATATTAGACCCCAAATGGCGAAATGTGGAGGAAGATTCCGCCAGCTCTAACTAGAGGCTCCTTTCACCTGAGGGTTTCGGCAGCACTGGGTGGATGCGGCTACACCGGGGTCTGACTATGGAAGACAGGAGCTCTGTTCTGCATCCAAGCTATTGAGATCCTGAGAGGGCTGACTGAGGCTTCTTGTAATACCAGTGGGAATGAGGGTGAGGCCAGAGTGATGCCGCAGTGGGGGAAGTTATTTCATTTATATATATATATATATATTTTTTTTATATTTAATTTTAATTAAAAATTTTTTAAGACAGGGTGTTGCTCTGTCACTTAGGCTGGAGTGCAGTGGTGCCATCATATTATAGATGACTTCAGCCTCTGTGTCCAGGGCTCAGTGATCCTCCTGCCTTAGCCTCCCAAAGTGTGGGGATTACAGGCATGAGCCACTGTACCTGGCTGGAAGTTTCATCTGATGCAAAAAGTGTCTGAGGGAGCAAAGACTCTGGGATGACTGAAGCCAGGCCTGGCAAGCAGCCTACACAGGGAGGCTTGGGAACAAGGACTGAAATCCTAATTGATGTCAAACTCATAGTGGAGCTTCACGGTCTCTCCTAGGCAGCAGAGAATGTGCCTGGGATTTGGAATCAAGGGGCTAAACTGTAGCCCCTGGTTTCCCACTCACTGGCTTCAGGACCTGCTGAATTATTCCACCTCCTCAAGCCTGGGTTTCCACGTATGTCAAACAAAGACTGTGAAGGTGCCTTTCTTTAATCGTGGTCTATCAGGTGCCATGAGGGAAAAATCCAAAGGCCTGCTTGGAGGCGAGATGTATTATTAAGGGAAGTCATTGGCTCAGTGGTGGATTCTGAAGCAGGGCGCTGTCCGTTTACAACTTGTGAGCATTTGCTGGGTGGTGATGAGACTTCCCCCAGATTTCCTGAGGGTGCCCTTGGCAGAGAGTAAACCTCAGAGGCAGCAGCAGGCTGCTGGACATAGTGCTGGATCTGAGCAGATGCACGTTACTCACCAGCCTCTTCTCGGCTCTAGGCCGCACCCCGCCAGTGAGACAGAAAGTCACCCCACCAGCATCTCGGGAGCTTTAGCAAGGACAACCCAGGAGCCTCAGCGGCTCCTTAGTACATGGTGGTTCTAATGGCGTGAACAGCTCTTGCCTATTTGTTTTTAAAGGTGTGTTTTATTGTTATTTAGGTACAGCAAGAATGCAGACATGGAAATGATGAAAAGATAGTCTGTTATGTTCACAGGGCAAGAGGACAGGCCATTCCACGCCACACAGGACCACATGGAGAGGTACCTGCGTCCGTCAATCAGGAAGCAGACAGAGTGAGGGAAAAATGGACCAGGCTATTAGGGACAGCCCCGTGCCCTGGAGCCTACAGAAAAAACTAGCCAACCCTACACCACCTGCCCTGCCTCACCCACTCCTTCCCACACATGCCACCGTGCAGGCTCCTGCCCACAGTGCCCGCTCCCTCTGCCTCCCGGGCCATCCTGGGGCTGCCCCGTCTGGCCCTACATGGCATACCTCCCATTTCTAATCGAATATACACACTTCCTCCTCCTTGACATCATTTCCCTGTCTGCCTTCTTACCATACCTGATTAAAACGAGTCTCGTTGGAAAACACACTGATTCGGAAAAGCAATCACTCATGTCAGCAAACTAGTAACATTCTCACATAGAGAGTGCCAAAGTCGAAGTGGTTCAGGTAATTAACATACCTTGTAGAAGGATTGGAAATAGCTCCACAGTAGATCACATGTCAGATTTAATGACAATAAACTTGGAGAGTCAGTGAGTTAGGATGCAACTCCATTTGCCAAATCGTGGTTGCAGCACAAGCTTAGATTTGAGTGCCGATAGAAGATCTGATAAAGATCAACAAAAGCACATAGGCTATGTGGAATAAAGATGGTTGTATATTGGGTTATGACTTGTAAATTTTGTGCTATAATGTACTTTGCAGGAGTAAAACTAGTAATAAACTGCTATCAGCATACTTATACACCTCTTTTGTTGCTGGAGAGCCAGTTCTTAGACACTGAGCTGCACACCCATCCCTGCGGCAGTGCTGCAGCGATTTCCCAGTCCAGCACCCCACTCACTTGGCAGCATTCAGCTCCTGGGGATCTAGCCCGCTCTGTGTCCGCAAGCTTCCATATTACTGTGCCGAGGTCCCAGAGGGGTCCAGGTGCTGGCCAGATCAGTGTGTGCCAAGCAGCCGTGACTGTGGGAGACACAGCTCTTTGTTCTCCTGTTCCCGTAACAGACAGTCCAAGTAAGATGAGAAATGCCTGTGCATGTGAAGCTTATCAAACCTAATTTTAAATACCCAAAACTGAATTCCACAGAAAGATCACTCCCAGAAACCGTTGCTGGTGTGATGTATGACTGTATGTGCCAGAGTGGCTTTGCAGACAATGGAAACTGAGACTATATCCAGAGGCTGCTTGCTCACAGCTAGAAAAGTCAGTTTGGAGCTAGGCTAGAGTGGGGAAACGGTGACAGGCTGAAAGGAACAAGGGCTCCCCTCAGCTGCAGGCATTTGCTAAACCCCGACATAGGAACGGGCTGAACACACCAGCCCTATGCTGGTACAAGTCCTTATGCATCCCTGCATCTCCTTCCAGTGTCCCTGGCAAGTGGCTCCCTCAGAGAGGGCATGCAAGGACAGATTTTGCTTTTCTAGGATGTGTGGGGGATAAGTGAGCCAGGGCTAAGCTGGCAAGGAAAGGGCAGCTTCTATAAACCCTGCAGAATGGACACAGCTGGAGACTGCTCTGGGAAGGGAGGTGCCCTCCCTCTGTCCGGGTGAGCAAAGCCAGGAGTGTGAACAGGCTCTTCCCAGCAAGGGGTGCTGGCAGATAGTGGCCCAGGGGATGTCTCTATCTATCCTCCTCAACTGCAGGGGACAGATAAGATCTAGGACACATTTATGTGACACTAACAGCCAGGAGCCCAGCGTTGCTCTTCTCTTCTGAAAAGTTTCTTGTTTTTAAATGTCTCCCTGGATGCCTGGGCTGCCAAAAGAAAGTGCTTTTTATTCACAGATTCTCCTTGTCTTTTCAGTGCTAGGTAGGTAAAGGCTTCCCAATTAGTTAGCAGACAGATAAATGTTGACTTTGATTTTCTTGCTTATAATCAAGAATCATTCTACTAAAAGGATCCATTCTAGTATTCTACTACAGAAATCCATAGAGCCTGATTTCTAATTTTCTAATTAAAATGTGTTTATACCCTAGATATTCACAGTAATATTGAAGAGTTCTCAGTTTTCCTTTTAACCACAACTGCGACCTTTCAAGTTCCATTTCCTAAGTGTGCCTACTGAAAATAAGGCAGTGTCTTTTTTGCCTGCCAACGTTGTAAAAAATAGGTATTCTGCAAACACGAATTTTAGGAGTAGCATATACTTATTCATCAAGCTCTTAGGATAATTTGCAAAGTTCATCACTTGTTCATTCCTACAATAATTAAACAGAAAAATAAGGCATTGCTCAGAACACACTTGAAACTACCTGAAGACAACTTCAGTATCAAAAAATATTAATGCCTAGCAATATTTACGTCTCAAAACTTGAATAATTTTTCTCAATAATGAATTCTAAGCCAGCCCTCTAATGAAGTTCTACTTTATTTTCATTTAATACTCATTTGAATGTTACATTAAATTCAAATTATCAAAGCAAATAGTTGAAAAGATTGAAAATGCCAATAAACTATTTTACAATATAAAATGTTAAAGTAATTGTATCACGCAGGCTCGTGAACTACAGTGGATTTTAGAAGCTGAAGAGCTCAGTGCAAGGGTCCTGTACATCCCGCATGGCCAAGCCTGTGTGCTGTCACCGGGCCTGGCGTCTTGAGCTCGTTGCGCCCACCCCCTTGGACTGGCTGTGGACACGACAGCCTCAGAATGGGCAGCGGCCTGAGAAGGGGCGCTCAGGAGACGGGGGAGGCGGGCCTGGGGCCGCTTTAGGCTGAACTCCGAGGCCTTGCTTTCGCTTCCCACTTAACAGAGATGTGAAAGGAAGGCGCTAACGCCAGCCGAGGAGGCGGCGCCACGCTTTCTGGCTCCAGTTTCGCTCTCCCGCTGTGGCCCTGCTGTCTCTACCTACCCGTCACAGCGGTGCGGGGGGACACACGGGTCCCTCCCCTAAGGACCTGGAGCCAAAGGGCTTTCATGAAAATGTTTATTACCCAATAAAAATATTCACCCAGTTCTTCTATTTACAACATAGAAAATGAAAGGCGATGCCCAAATCCCGGCCCTCTTCTGCAGGGGCGTGGCTCCCGCTGGGGGACGGAAGGGACAAGCGGCGGAGGAGGGCGCGCTGGCGCATCCCGGCGCAGGAGGCGGTGCAGGAGCGCGCAGGGCAGCAAGAGCAGCAGGCTGGGCGCGCCCCCGGCGCTCGGCCCGTGAGCGCGGGAGGCCAGGAAGTCTTTCGCGTCTGGAAAAACAGACAAACCCGAGATGTATGAAATGCGGTGCTGCGGCTCGGTTTGGGGGCGTGCGATAGAAACGCCTGCTCCCTGCCTTCTACAGGTCCTTTCCCGGGGCCCTCACCAGGCTCCACCCCTCGGCCGCGCTGCAGGGCGAGGTGCGGGGAAGCAGGTCTCAGCCCCGCGTTGACATCTGCACAGAAGGAAGCCTCTAAATGTTTGCAGAACTTAGAGAGCTGAAGGAGAATTACAATACTGTTTTAAAGGGGAACGAAGAACAGCCCTTCCGTCTTTCTCATTTGGCCCGTGACCTTTCAGAGAGTCCGGCTCCAGGTCTTTGAGCGACGGGGCAAATAGACCGGCCTTAGTATATGTGGGGCAAACAGACCGGCATAAAACAGGGCCATAATATAAAACAGCTCACCGCCGTCTGCTGCAACAAAGGTTCCACTTTTCCCCAAATGAGTGCTTGAAATATTTTTTTGACAAGGGACAGTTGATGGAGCAGGAGGATGCAGCCATCCAAAGCCGGGCTGCCGTTCTGAGGAGGCCTAGCGCTGTGAATGGCACCTCGCCCCATGGGACCTCACCTGCCGACCCTTCCCTAGCCCACACTGCTGGTCATAGGAGGCCGTGCCTGAATGCCTAGCCCCTGTCCTCCCCCCCCACCCCTCACAGCAGGCCTCACTCATGCTGAACCCTGAGGGTCCCTGAGCCTTGGTCTCTGTGTAGCTGGGACCCCAGTCTAGAACAGCAGAATGAGAATCTCTGGAGTGGTGGGGCTGGGCAGAGCTTGGCTAACATCCTGGGTGGTGATTGCCATGTGAAGCGGACAACCTTGCAGGCATGGCAGACAACACCACTAGAGCATTCTCACAAGGAAGTCCAGGCCTGGTTTGGAGTGGGGTCAGGCTGGTGGGAGAGCATGCCCAACTACAGGGACCCTATCTTCAGGGCCACTCAGCAAAGGCCTGCCTTGCCCTCTACTACACCTCCAGGAGATGCCCTCTGGACTTGGGAAACTGGCATGAGCATGAAACCGGAAATTAACAAGGAACTGATGCAGATGAGCCCCCACAGCAAGAACCACTCTCCACCCGTCCACAGACAGGACGGGCCTGGCCAGGTCAGGCCCACTCCACCTCCCCATAGCACCCCACCTTGGGAGAGAGGGTTGTTCCAGGGTGCCAGAATCCCTAAACAGGAATGCTAACATCTAGGCTCAAACGAGGCTCCAGAGAAGTTAATGCTAAGACAGGCACTCACAGCATAAGAAGCTATTCAGGTGAGAAAAGGGTCAGTAGTACCGGGTCTGTGCTGGCCTTCCCCTGAGGGAAGGGGACAGGAGGGCTGGTCACAGGGTGCATGCTGACAGGCCCAGAGCCAGCTGGTGCCAGGGCCTTCGAGAGCCATTCTGACGGCATCCCAAAGGCCTGGAGACTGGGTCTGGCCCACTGATGTCTGTTTACTTATTGGTTGGTTTGTTTTTTTTGCCAGAATTGCTTTTTTTTTTTTTTTTTTTTTTGAGACAGAGTTTCGCTCTTGTTACCCAGGCTGGAGTGCAATGGCGCGATCTCGGCTCACCACAACCTCCGCCTCCTGGGTTCAGGCAATTCTCCTGCCTCAGCCTCCTGAGAAGCTGGGATTACAGGCACGTGTCACCATGCCCAGCTAATTTTTTGTATTTTTAATAGAGACGGGGTTTCACCTTGTTGACCAGGATGGTCTCGATCTCTTGATCTTGTGATCCACCCACCTCGGCCTCCGAAAGTGCTGGGATTACAGGCTTGAGCCACCGCGCCCGGCCCGTCAGAATTGCATTTTTTTTTTTTTTTTTTTTTTTTTGAGACGGAGTTTCGATCTTGTTGCCCAGGCTGGAGTGCAATGGCACGATCTCGGCTCACTGCAACCTCCGCCTCCTGGGTTCAAGTAATTCTCCTGCCTCAGCCTCCTGTGTAGCTGGGATTACAGGCATGCACCACCATGCCCAGCTAATTTTTTGTATTTTTAGTAGAGACGGGGTTCAACATGTTGACCAGGAGGGTCTCGATCTCTTGACCTCGTGATCCACCCGCCTCGGCCTCCCAAAGTGCTGGGATTACAGGCGTGAGCCACTGCGCCCGGCCAGAATTGCATTTTTAAAAATTGAGTTTGCAGCAGTGGGGCGGAGTGTTGATCCGGCCCCGTCTCACTTCCATATTACCTGCCCGTCTCTGAAGACACCTGAGTTGGCTGCCTCACTGTGTCATTCCATAGACTCTAAATTTTAGAGTATTAAATTGTCTCTTGATGCTGGTAAAAACTGATACTTGATGCTTTAGGGCCACAGTAGAAAGAGCCACCCCCTCAGACTAACAAGGAGATCCTGGCTAGCTCAGGACTAGCAAAGGTCCCTGCTAGCTTGAAACTTTTCATTTTTGGACTCACAGAGCATCAGTCAGAGCAAGAAAGGCTCTTGGAGATCCCCAGACCCGGGGTTCCCTGCAGGAGCCAGTGGGCCATGCTTTTGTAGCAACATTTCATCTTCCCCATACTCTTCAAAACCATCATCTCCCAATAAAGGATTTAAAACATTTATTTACCTATTACTGTGCTGTTGGCTTTGGAATATGACCAAATTTTCTATATTCTATATAACACTTTTAAAAATCTTCATTTTTTTCATATTTATTCTTTCTTTTCTTTTTAAGAGACAGGATCTTGCTCTGTCACCCAGATTGGAGGGCAGTGGTGCAATCATAGCTCACTGTAACCTCAAACTCCTAGGTTCAAGTGATCCTTCTGCCTCTCAACCTTCCACGTAGTTGGGACTACAGGTGCTCATCACCACACCTGGCTAATTTTTACAATTTTCTGTAGAGACAGGTCTTGCTATATTGCCCAGGCTGTTCTCAAACTCCTGGCCTCAAGCAATCCTCCTACCTCAGCCTCCCAGAGTTCTGGGATTATAGGCATGAGCTACTGTACCCAGTCATACTGATAATTACTCTTACAGGAAGAGTACAAGAATGGCATGAGGTTAAGAATCAGACCCTGTTTACTCTTTGCAGAAGTTACTCTCTCTGTGTCTCAGTTTCCTCAAATGTAAAAGGTGCACCTACTTCATTGGCTTTTATAAGAGTTAAATGGGGTAGTGGGCATATAAAGTGCCTGAAATACACTGAGAGCACCTCTCCTGCTGTAGCACCCAGAAGAGCTGGCCCTACTGCAATGGCACCTGCCACAGAGGATGTTCCATCCTCATCGCTGTTGTCACCTTCAAGTCCTCATAACCACTGTCAGTACAGCCATCACCAGCATCAACCTAACTTTCCTTGAAGAAGGATCAATGGGTGAAAGAACACAAAGGGGTTACTGCCCACTCTGCACCTGACAGATGACCCTGAAGGATGACGGCACTATTTTATCCAGCTTTCACAAAACAGGCCACATTTTCAGAGCCACTGTCACTGTTCTTGGCCAATAGCAATCACAGCACTGGATGTTTCCAAGAATGGAAAATCGTGACTGGATATCCTGGAAGTCATCCCAGCTAGACCCTTCCCCACATTCCCACTGGGGCAGCCTAATGGCAGGTGGGAACTGACTTCATCTGTGAGGACCACACAAGCACCACCTGCAATTCTGATGCCTGCCCATGAAATCTGTGTCCTCCTGTCTCTGGGGCATAGAGGAGCAACTGGTGACTTTAAAGCAGAGGCTGAGCATAAAGAGCACGCATAGAAGAGGAGGTGCTTTGGGAAAATGTGGTCTGCATGTGGAGAGCGCTCTCCTCTGCTGGTACCATGGAGAGCTAGCTGAGGAGAAGAGAGCTGGAAGGGAAGTGGGGCTGAGGGCCTCTATTATTAAGAGTGTCCCTTGACTGCTGGTCCTACCAGGGAGAGAAGGGAGGGCAGGAGGGGAAGGAGAGCAAAGTATGCATTAAGTGTGCTCTCCACTATGGGCCTCCAAGAGCAAGAGGGAGGCTGGGGAAGCCAAGTTGAGGATCTTCCGCCCTCTGGTGCTCCCCTCCACGATGCCCAACAGGACGGCCTGAGGACAACAGGTGGGAAGTGGGGTTGTAGGGTTGTGCCCTTTGACAGATGGAGGTGCGCAGGACTGACCGAGGTGGAGGGAGGGACAGGAGAGTGGCTCTGGGGCCTTGGCTTCATCAGGTGTGCCCCTGGACACTGCACCACCAGACCACCCAGGCCTGGGAGAGGGCAGAGCCGGAGCTAGGGTGGAGAGGGTGGGCCTTCACTACTGTGCCCCCCATTTTTAGCCCTAGCCAGTGCTCCTGGAAGAGGAGAAGAGAGGAGGAAAGGCACAGCTGAGCAGAGGGTGCAGGGAAACCACTTGAAATTTACACAGCTAACTTGTTTCCCAGGTTCCTCTCTGCTTACCAGCTGGTCATCTCCTGAAATTCCGTTCACTGAAACAGACATGTGAGAACACTTTGGAAATCATTTTTAAACTTAGCAATCTGGATATGAGTAACTTCAAAACCAACTTTAATTCACTATATGACTCCCAGTGAATGCTACTGTGTTCAGTGATGAATCAGTCTAGTCTGCTGACTGCTATATGGCCTGGCACTGGAAGATGCGCTGTGGATCCGTATGAAGGGTGAGCCAATGAAGGTGCAACGGCATGCGGGGGTGAGCTGGGGGCCGAATCGCGGGGCTTCTTACCACAGTGGCCAGGCGACTGGAGGGGGAGGCAGTGCAGGGCCCCGAAGACGCACCTGCAGAGGTAGCAGCCGCGGAGGGTCCAGGCTCCGTGTCCCAGGGAGCCGCATTCACTGAGGAGACAGATGGGGACCTGAGTCAGTGCGGTGGCCCGCGCGCCCCTCTCCCGGCGCCGACTCCCACGCACCCCAAGACCCACACATCCCTCCCCCAGCGCCCACTCCCGCGCCCCCCAAGACCCATACATCCCTCCCCTAGTGCCCACTCCCGCGCCCCCCAAGACCCACGCGTCCCTCGCCCAGCGCCCACTCCTCTCCCCACACCCCGCGCACTCCTGTGCCCACCTGCGCCTCTGGTCGTGCTCGCAGTAGCGGCCGGTGAAGTGGGCCGGGCACACGCAGAAGCTGCCCAGCACGCAGGTGCCGCCGTTGCGGCAGCAGCGTGGCCTCCCGGGCGCACCTGCGGGATCACCCCGGCGTCAGCCCCGCGCTCCCCACGACCCGCGGCCCTCGGCCCTCCGGGTTCTCCCGCAGGGAACAGGCCGAATGTGGCCGCCCCGGGGAGGCAATAAAATCAGCTCCCCGCCAAGTGTGTTTGCTCAGGTAAACCCTGCTTGCTGGGGGATGCGAAACAAACGAACAGGGGTGCGGCCTGCAAGCCGGGCTTGCTCTCTCCCTTCCTTTCACATGTTAACCTCAGGCTGTGGCTTCACCTGACAGTGATTAAGCACAGGCTCCCCAGGCGGGACCACCCACGGGTGTGGTGACGCCAAACCCACCGGCTAGGGGCCTCCTGGGGACGCTGGCCCAGCCGGCGTCTGCGATAAACCAAGCTAGGGTCCGCTGTTATCTGGGCTTGGGATATTTATTTTCCACACATTTAAATCACAGTTCTCTAGATCTGCAGCAAAATAGCCATTGAATAGCAAATACAACCTTTTACCAATGAAAGAGTAAAACTTTTAGAAGAGTTAACACTTCCCTGGGAGCTGTCTCTAGCTGTCTAGCTTTGTTAAGTGCATCATTATTTGAAGATAACAAAATGGTCTTCTTGGGTTTTATCCTGAATTTATCCTACTTATTCTCAGATCTTAAACTCTTGAGTTCGCAAACCGAGATGATGCCCGGATTTCGTGGGTTGTGCGGCAACTTACCCTCTTGGAAAGCTCGGGAGAAGGGGAGCCGCTCCCCAGGCCTCCAGCCCTCCTCGCTCCCAGTCACCTCCCCGACATGACCCGAGGTCCAGTTGAGCGGTGTCTGTTGGTGCTTCAGAGCCGCAACCTTGGTGACTTCCCCTCTACTGCCGTTATGTTTCTCTACTTGATAGCCTTTCAAAAATATTGACAATGTGAGACTGATAATGACTGAGAATCAAATATTTTATGCAATTAAAACTGAGACTGTGAGTAAAATGTTTCTTACTGTTTCCCAAGTTGATGATCCGTAATGCCAAACTGATCATAAACAGAAGCCTAGAACATTTAAAGAAAATCACTGAAGTTTAAAATATCTTTAAAAGTATAAGCAGAAATTCACATATACATAAAATACAATGCAATCATTATATATAAATATTAAAGTATGTAAAATATTTAATTATGATGAATAATGCAATCATTTTGTAACTCGTGGGTTTTTATTAATGTTGCTATGGCTTAGAAAGATTTTGAGACAGAAAGTATACACCTCCTCTAACGAACAGTCAAGCAGGCACTATGAATTATTCTGAGGCTCTTGAGACCCTCCTCCTGGCTCCAAGATCTCATGACCTGTGTCCTTACCTGACATGATGCCTCCAGGTCATTTTTGGTTTGAGACTCTCCTTCTCTTAGTGCACTGAAGATCAGTTTCCAGAAAAGCTGTGTCTGAAGAGCCTCTGCATTTGAAGGTGTCTTGACTCCAGGCCCCAGGGACACAGAACCGAGGAGTACAGAAGATGCGCTCTTCCCTTCCCTTCCTCAGCCAGGAAAAACGGGATGGTATCTTGAGTTCTGCAGCCCCTGAGCTAGGGTTGGGCTTGTGGTGGCAGGCGGGCCCCTCTGAGCCTGAAGGACGATCCCCTCTGTGACACCTGGCTGGGGGTGGGGACTCGGGCTGACTCCCCCCCAGCAGTGTTTACAGTGCTGACAGCAGCAGGAGTGACCAATCTCTGATGTAAAACGTTGGTATCCAAGGTGATGAGCCATTTTCTCACTGAGAGAGAGAGAGAGAAAAAATCCCAGCATGAGCAAAAGCTTTCATAGGAAGGTGGAGATTTTCTGTTGCATGTGCCTTGTACTGGGAGATGGTGAGGGGCCCTGTGAGGGAGGGAGCCACTGTGTGGGGCGCAGTCAACAGCCTCGGTTCCCAGCTGCCCTGAGTGGGGAACGCGAGGATAAGAGAAAACATGTCACCCCTGCTTTAAGAGAGGCTCCCTCACTCCACAAATGAAGCCTCTTCTCTGTGCCCACCAAGTGGGGGAAGGGCACTGCCCCATTTACTATAGGACCCTCTAGAGTAGGCATTGTTACTCCCCACTACGTGGAAAGAGAGAAAGGGAGGCTTAGAGAGTTTAAGTCCTTTGGCAGTTAGATCTCTGAAAAACATGAATGGCACAGATATGATGAGGAGACACCCACGGTTATCCAAGGCAACTACGGGAGCCCCCGGAAGCACAGGCGAAACTGCAGCGCTCGGACGTCGCCAAGGAGCCTGCTGAATCCAACTGAACCCAAGGAGGGAGTGATCTGGGGCCTCTTCTAGCACCTTCTAGGTCTCAGTTCTTCTAACTACCAAAATAGGGACAAGGCCTTGTTATCAGCACTAAACAAGACACCTTGCAACTCAGTGTTGCAAATTGTCTGTGATTTAATATAAAAGCTCATTTCTAAAAATAGTATTATTCCTCCAAGGCTGAAATAGTCTTTGATGGTGATTTAATTTCTTAAACCTTTAGATGTGAGGTTTATTAAAGAGGCTGTGAAATAAAGCAATAAGAAATTGGAGGACCGGGTTGCCCTGGGGCCTCCCAGCAGTGAGTCTGGTGGGATTGGCCCGCCCAGGCGTCCCAAAGTGCTAGGATTACAGATGTGAGCCATTGCACCTGGCCAAATCATGGCATTTCATATGTAGAATAAGGCTTTGAAAATCTGCAGTTTGGCCAGGCTCAGTGGCTCATGCCCATAATCCCAGCACTTTGGGAGGCCGAGGCAGGAGGATCACCTGAGGTCAGGACTTTGAGACCAGCCTGGCCAACACAGAGAAACCCCGTCTCTACTAAAAATACAAAAATTAGCCAGGCATGATGGCATATGCCTGTAATCCCAGTAACTCGGGAAGCTGAGGCAGGAGAATGGCTTAAATCTGGGAGGCGGAGGTTGCAGTGAGCCGAGATTGCACCACTGAACTCTAGCCTGGGTGACAGAGCAAGACCCTGTCTCAAAAAAAAAAAGAAAAAGAAAAAAGAAAAGAAAATTTGCAGTTTATATGTGGAAACTAGAAGAAAAAAAAAGAAATAGTCTTGCCAGCAAGACAGAACTGAGACAAGAAATAGCAGTGCGCTGTGCCTGTACTGTTTGCTTGAGCTCTGCAATGGACCTGGAGGAGAAGGCTGACGTCCAGGGGAGATAAAGCTTCTGATGATCCATTTTTGCCAGACTGTCGCTTGCTCTCCACACAGAGCTTTGTGGTCCCAGGTTGCCTCCCTGACTGAAACTTCCTATAAATGGGTTTTGCATTTTACTGCAGGGGAGCTGCCCTAGTTTGCCATCAAGAGCCCCAGCTGGAAGGGTTGCCTGGGAACACTGGAAGGGGAAGGTGGGTCCCTTCCAGGAAAGGGCCTCTTTCCTCCTTATCAGCTGTAAACAGATAAGGCTGGAGCCGGCCCACCCATTAAAACCCCAGCGGAAGGCCGGGTGAGGTGGCTCAAGCCTGTAATCCCAGCACTTTGGGAGGCTGAGGCGGGTGGATCACGAGGTCAAGAGATCGAGACCATCCTGGTCAACATGGTGAAACCCCGTGTCTACTAAAAATACAAAAAATTAGCTGGGCATGGTGGTGCAGTGCCTATAATCCCAGCTACTCAGGAGGCTGAGGCAGGAGAATTGCCTGAACCCAGGAGGAGGAGGTTGCGGTGAGCCAAGATCGTGCCATTGCACTCCAGCCTGGGTAACAAGAGCGAAACTCCGTCTCAAAAAAAAAAAAAGAGACTGGTGGAGCACTGCCTCTCCCAACGCCGAGCTCTTTCTTAACAAGAGAACGGTTTTTATGTCAGCCTGAAGCAATGATTTACATGATCAAAGACATGGGTCTGGAAGGGGGAAGAGAATATTTCAGACAAGTATCATATTTTACTAGAAGTGAGGAGGCCGGAAGTAAATGCTGTGAGGTGAATCCGCCTGCATATTTCCTAAGTGCCAGCCCTGTTTTAGGAGCTGGGACAGTAGCTATAAACCAAAAAAAGAAAAAACTCCTGTCCTCATACAGCTTATCTTCTGGTCAGGAGAGACAGATAGGAAAGAATATTAAGAGGTAAATGTTCAAATACATTACAGGCAGAATCTAGGAGAAAAGTATCCAAGTCAGAGAGAATAACCAGGGCAAATGGCCTGAGTGGAAACTGTGCTTGCCATGCTAGGCCAGGAGGGAGGGTACTGGGTGTGAAGTCAAAAATCAAGAAGGCTCAGAGATTGGCCCCTCCCTGCATGTTGACAAGGTGGCCTGCACAGCTGCACTGTCACATGCTCGTGTATAAAACATCAGACCGAGACTGGGCGCGGTGGCTCACCCCTGTAATCCCAGCATTTTGGGAGGCAGAGGCAGGTGGATCACCAAGTCAGGAGTTTGAGACCAGCCTGGTCAACATGGTGAAACCCTGTCTCTACTAAAAAACACAAAAATTATCTGGGTGTGGTGGCATGTGCCTGTAGTCCCAGCTACTCGGGAGGCTGAGGCGAAAGAATCGCTTGAACCTGGGAGGTGGAGATTGCAGTGAGCTGAGACGGCGCCACTGCACTCCAGCCTGGGCGACAGAGCAAGACTCCATCCTGGAGGGGAGGGAGAAACAAACAGACCTCTGAATCAGAGAAATAGACAGTTTATTACTCACAGCAAACACAGCAGCCAGAACAGTATCTTTAGTCAGTTTGCCATGCCCCTATTCCCAAGAAGAGGTGATGTGGACCATGCCACCTGGGCAGGCAGTGGGTTTGCATCCCAGCAGAGGGACCTGAAACTGGGAGACTTGGAGATTTTATCAGGGCTGTGGAGGACCTGCCTTTTCTCTCCTTCAGAGATCCCTGGGGTAAAACATCCTGGGATGAACGTTTCTGTCCTGGGCACTCTGTCTTCCCCTCGCTGTTCCTATCGTCCTTGCAAAGCTGGTCTGTGTCCCTTGCTGAGAAGGCCCAGTCATGCAGGAACACAAGAGGTCTAGGAAGAGTTACCTTTCAAAAGTGGGCAGTGTGACATCAGGCAGCAAGAGCATCCCAGGAGGTGAGGCTAGACAGGGGGCCCTGGGGACTGCAGCAGAGTCGATTCTGAGCAACAGGGGAACCAGAGGAGGGTTCTGAGCAGAAGAGCATCAGCACCCGCCAACAGTTAGAAGAGACTTCAGGGAAGCAAGGGTGGGAGCGAGGAGGCCAACTGAGAAAGCCTAACCTTGGTGGGGCAGAGGAGGCAGTCAGATACTGGGACTGTTTTGAAGGCAGAACTGATAGGACTTGCCAACAGAATACTGGAGAGAAAAAGAGTCAGAGGAGGGTGGGTGACGGCAAGGTTTCTGTTGGAGCGGCTGAAAAGAGGGAGCTGCCATTTCCTTCTTTCTCAGGGGAGTCAGGCTGGGAGGGAGCATCACGACTTCAGTTTTGGAAATGTTAAGTGTAAGATGTTCAAGCAAAGATGCTGAGGTTTGGAGTTCAGTGGTCTTTGTTTGCGGTACAGATAGAGACTTTGGAGTTGTCAGTGTTTAGAAGGAATCCACAGCCTTGAGACTGGACCAGTCGCTAAAGGAGTGACGAGAGGAGAGGGCTGAGGGCCAAGCACTGGGTCATAAAGTGGAGAGCAAACAGCAAGAGACAAGAAGAGTGGCTGGGAGGTGAGGAAGGAGGTGAGTACGGGGTCCAAACATCCAAAGAAGCCCCGTATCCTAGAGGGGGGTCCGATGCCGCTGGCTGATGGTATGAGGCCTGAGGTCAGAGACACAGAGGTCAGCGCCAACCTCACCAGCAGCCGGTTCACAGGAGTAGCAGGGGCACTGGGAGAGTGGGAGACAACACAGGGTCAGGTCTTTTTAAGAAAACAGAGAAACGGGGCAGCTCTAGAGTAGGAAGTAGGGGCCCAGAGTGAGACCAGGAAGGAAGGGCAGCCTGCGAAGGTATGATACCACATCAGCTCCCACTGTGGGCATCCAAACCCAAGCCTCCCGGGAAAGTCGGGGAACTGTTAAAAACCCACACCTCCTCAGCATTACCCTGCTGAGGGGTGGGGTGGGGCATGTGCACATCCCTCATCATTCCCTGATTGATGGCTCAGCAGAGTGGAGTTCATGTCAAGGCACTTGAGATCGACCAAGGATGCAGCCAGGTGGAGGCAGGAGAAGGCCAGTCCTCACCCAGAGAAGGGCAGGACAGGGGTGGACATGGGGCCCAGGGCACTGCAGCGGCGCAGACAGGGACCTGGGCAGGCACAAGCAGTGTCAGTCAGAGGTCTAGAAACCTGAAGGTGAGGCGCTGGTCCCTCCAGGTTCCAGGAGAGAGCGTCTTATACTTTTTCCATTTGCAGTGACTTGGAGATTTGTCCAGAGGTGCGTCCTCCTTTCTTTCTTTCTTTTTTTTTTTTAAACAACTGCATAATGTTACATCCTAGCAGGAAGCCTACCATGGACCATTTAAAGTGTTTCAAATCTTAGGGGGCTAGGCCTGGTGGCTCACGCCTGTAATCTCAGCACTTTGGGAGGCTGAGGAAGGAGGATTGCTTGAGCTCAGGGGTTCAAGACCAGCCTGGGCAACATGGTAAAAAATCATCTCTAAAAAAAAAAAATTAGATCTGTAGTTCCAGCTACTTGGGAGGCTGTGTAAACAGAAGGGGTCAGTCTAGTTGGGGGTCTTTCTGGCTGGGATCTGTCTAGATAGGGCCTGATTTGCTGGGGGTCCATCTGTCTGAATAGCTAGAGATCTGTACTTATTTGGGGGACTTGTCTGTCAATCTGAAGAATCATGTCTGACCAACTGGGGTCCATCTATCAAGATGGGAGTCTGGCCAGCTGGCTGGGATGTCAGGATTCTGTGTGACTGATGTCTGGCTGGCTGGCAGTCCATCTGCCTAGTCAGGAATCTGTCTGGCCAGGTCTGTCAACCAGCCAGCTTACCTAGGGGTGGGGTTGGGGTCTGAGAAGTCTGTGTGTCTGTTCAGCTGGGGATCTGTTTCATCTGTCTAGTAATCTGTCTAACTTAGGGGTCCACCTGGCTGTCCAGCTGGCAGGATGTCTGTCTTTTGGAGGCTCTGTTCGGTGGTCTCTCTGGCTGGACTGGTCTGTCAAGCTGTTGGCTGGTCTGTCTCTCTGGCTGGGGTCCCTCTGTCCACCTGTGGATTGTATCTCTGAAGGTCTGGCTATCTGTCCAGGTTGGTGGTCCATCTGTCTGTCTGCCTATCTGGAGGTATTTTTTTTTTTTTTAAGATGGTGTTTCACCATGATGGCCCGGCTGGTCTTGAACTCCTGACCTCAGGTGATCCACCCACCTCAGCCTCCCAAAGTGCTAGGATTACAGGCATGAGCCACCGCACCCAGCTATCTGGAGGTCTTTTTATCGGTCTGACTGGGATGAGTCTGCTTGGCTGTGGTTACGCCTGGTTTGGATATGCCTGGATGGCTAGGGGTCCATCCATTTCTCTATGTGGTCACCTGAGTGTCCAAGTGAGGGAGGCTCAGGTGCTGATGATGGACTAGTGCGTTACGTGGTGAGGGCAGCAGTCTATGGAAGCCCATTTGGCCATTCTCCCCCTCACAACTCAGGGGCCATGCCCCTTCCCGATGTTCTTTCTTGAATCTGCTCTCACCAGCCATTATACCCTACCTACCTCCTCCAGCCTCAAGTCTTGAATGCTACAGTCACTGGGGCAAAGCCCCCACATTTCCCACCCTGAGAAACTTTTATTTTGATCCAGGCCCACTGTTTCCATTCGGCACACGGCATTCGGCAGCAATGGGGCATCAGTAGTCCGAGCTCACAGAGGCAACAGGCAGGAGCTGGCGCAGACTCACACCCGGGTCCACTCAGCAGGCGGGTCCCGGGGCCCCTTCGGCTTCCCAATGCGCAGGTTGAAGCCTGGGAGAGGAAGGGTGCTGTGGGTCTAATGGAGAAGCTGAGGCGTGCGGAGGCAGGCAAACATGAAGCAGACCAACCCCCCACCTCCAGGTCCTCGCGGTTCACTGCAGCCACATCCACAGGACTGAGCTCCAGGCCCCCATCCGGCAGCCCCAAACTCCTGGGGTTCACTCAAAGCAGCAAAGTCCCAGCAATCCAGGCTCTACCTGACTTACCCAGCCCACCTGGTCTGAGCTCCACCAGACACGTCCTCGTAGGCGCCAGATCCAGCAGGGCTTTGGTCAGCAGGAACTGAGGGCAGGAGACCCCCACGGGTCAGCTCCGGAAGCCCCAGGGAATCCCAAGATCCCACCCTGGGCGGGGCCGCTTCCCCCAAGCCTTTGGGGCCCGGCCGGCCGAGACCCGCCAGGTCGTATGCCCCGGGGCCGCGACCGCCTAGGGGGTTTCGGGGCGTGGCCAGGAAGCCAGGACGCCAGCATCCGGGCGTGGCCGGGCTAGCAGCGGGGGTCCCCTGTGCCGGCCAGGGCCCTGTGGACCACAGCATGAGGGTGCCCCGAGAAGGAACAAGTGGGCGCCGGCGCCGCCCACCCCGCGCCGGTCTCGACTCACCGCTGCCAGGCGGCGTCCCCCGCGCGTCCTCCGCGTGCGCCCCGGACCGCTGGGCGCGCGGCGTCACCTGGCTGTAGAGCGGCGCGTCCTTCCGCGCTGCGTGGCCCCGGCCCGGTCCCGGCGCCCGCTGCAGCCCCGCGCTTCTGCACCACCGCGTAGGTGTCAGCCATGGCGTGGCCCGGGGACCCGGGCACCGAGATGCTCCTGCAGGCAGGGAGGCCCGGGAGGAAGTGAAACGGCGCTGTGCAGGGCGGGAGTGGGGAGACTGCTAGCGCGCAAACCGCGGGCTTCCTTCCCGCTGAGGCGGCGCGCTGGACGGAGGGAGGGTGCCCTGGGCGGGGGCCTCGCTCCTCTGTCCCTGGCGCCCGGCAAGTTAGGCGGATGAAGGAGGAACGGGGGCAGCCTGGCAGGTAAACGGGGCAGGGTGTTGATGTGAGGGGTGGGCATTTCTGTGTCTATGTCTGTTGAATAAAAGAATGCGGAAGTGGCACAGACGCCGGAAGGGATGGCCGCAGGACGCAGGCCTGAAGTCTCCGCTGCGAAGGCAGCTGTGTCCCGTGCCCGCCGCACCCAACGTGGGGCCTGACAAGTGGGCAGCATCTAGAAATATGTGCTGAATTGTTTTTTTGTTTTTTGAGACTGTCGCCCCGGTTGGAGTGCAGTGGCGCGATCTCGGTTCACTGCAACCTCCCACCTCCCGGGCTCAAGCGACTCTCCTGCCTCAGCCTCCCAAGCAGCTGGGACTACAGGCTCCCGTCACCACGTTTGGCTAATTTTTGTATTTTTAGTAGAGATGGGGTTTCACCATGTTAACCACGCTGGTCTCCAACTGGCCTCCAACTGGCACTAGTCACCTGAATTAAGTTTTGATTGGAGGATCCAGGAAAGGCCTAACCTCAGATGGCAGGGCCAGCCTTAGAGGCAAAGGCAAGGGGACCACTGGGATAAATGAATCATCCTGGAGAGGGTTCCCAGAGCTGAATTCGAAGAAAGGGCCAGCGAACACTTGGCGAAGTGAACAAGGAACGAACTGGTGTTCCAAGGATGAGGAAGGGGTTAGCCTGAGAAATTGGGCAGGGAAGAATGCGGGGATACAGCCGGGTACCTGAGGACCCCTCCTGGTGGACGGGGTATGGCGAGAAGAGCTGGGGGCGTCCGCAGGAAGAGGGCATCGTCGTACACTGGGGCACAATTCTGGGGGAAAACAGGAGGCAGGCTCCTGAGGGAAGAAACGGGCCAGGTCTCTCGCAGGGCTCTGGGAGAAAGCTTAAGACGGGACAGCCCGATAAGAGTGCCCAGAGAAGGACACAGGTGAGTGTCACTGTCAGTGACTATTTCCAGGAGTCCTGGGTGCTGGACCTTGCTCAGGGTCCTGGTCTCTGAGGGTGCTGAGGGTGGACAGGAGAGTGGGAAAGGGGCCTCTGTACCTCTTTGAGGTTCTGGTAGAGGGGGCTGGCATTCTGGAGTGTGGAGCGGAACATCTGAGCCACCGTGTGGTACAGGAATCTGTACTGCTCCTGTTGGGATGAGAGGCCATCAGGAAGGACGGCAGGTATGGAATGACAGCAGTGGGCTACTGGTCCTTGAATATTAGGAGACCCAGGGCTCACCTCTGTCTGCACGGCTGCAGGCCGCTGCTTCCGCATCTCAAGGACCACATCGAAGAGGCTGAAGTCAGGTGGGATCATCTGGGACAGACACACAAGGCACTTGAGCAGGACACATGGTCATGGGTGGCACACTGCACACACAGGATGCCCACGTCGTACCTGGGTCAGGAGCAGCTGCCTCACATAATCCACGGTGCACAGGACGCCCGTTCGCCCGCAGCCCGCGCTGACAAGGGAATCAGAGCGTGCCTAGTCGGCCTGAGCACATTTGGGGATAGGGGTGACGGCCCTGCTGAACCTCTTGATTCCCAGAATCTCCAGATTTTATTTGAACAAGGGAAACCTGTTTAATCACTTACGTCTTGTTGAGCAGAAGCTGTGTGCTTACTCACCAGCCGAGTCTGTGCTGAACAAGTGCTCACAATTACAGTCTATGCCGGTGAGCAAGGTTTCTCAAAATAGGCACTCAGACTGCAAGACCAGCCCCAGGCCCTGCACTTCCCTCCCTGCCCTGTCCGCTCCCTCACCAGACCCTCATGAAGCTCATTTCCCAAACCTGCAGTGGACACAGAGGGGTTCAGAGCCAGATCCCTGGAGGCGACGGGCTTCCTCCACCATGGCGAGCATGTGGTCAGGACTGCTGGGGACCCCGCGGTCTGGCCAGGACGTGTACTGTAGCTGGTACACAGAACGGGACTCCTGAAACACAGAAAAAGACTAGCAAAAGACTTAGGGAAACAATTAAACACCATTAATTGAGCACCAGCTATATACCAGGCCCACTCTACGGATCTTCCATTTATATCTGCCTGATAATAAGTGAGGAGATGGGTACTAGTATGATGCCTATTTTTACAGGGGAGAAAACCTCTTCCCTTGCAGAAGCCCCTTTACTTCCTCCTCCCCTATCAGTACCTTCTGGAATGTGACCTTGAGGGTCCTGAGCACGATGTCCTCATTCAGTGGCTTCTCCTTAACCTAAGTAAGCGTGGGGGAGGGGGACCAATACGGAAAGGGAGGAGAAAAAGATCACAGGTACCAAAAGTCATTTATACAAAGCAAAGCATTCCTGATTAAAAAGTCAAATACAGAAAACATTTTAAAAAATTCATATAGCCCAAACTTTCCCCAAAGCTTTCATTGAGGAAACATTTGACACAGGAGAAAAAGAGGAACTGTGATAAAAACATAAGCCCTTTTGTGGTGAAAAGAGATTTCTTTTGTTCTAAAATGAAACTTTTATTATATTAAGTACTAACTATATGTATGACTTGAGAGATTTCCCCAAGCTCTTTGGAAATGGTAAGAGAAGTATTTCAAGAACCTAATCAGGCACATTTACACGACAGATAACTGATTGCAGACAAAAGAAAAATGCAAAGGCTATGCATATAGAGAACTATTTGCAGGCTAACACCAAGGAGTTTCCTACAGTGTGAATGGACTGTGGGAGAAATCATTCATCCTTTCAGGCCCAACCCAAAGGCGTTCCATCCTGGGAATCTTCCTTAAAACCTCCCACAGCTCACCAGAGTGATGCAGAAAAGCCCAGTCTGCAGTGGCTCCTGCTCTTGGGCCCAGTACCGCTCACACCTTTTCTGCAAAAGGTAAGGGGGAAAAGGCAGGGAGTGAGGAGAGGGAGTCAGCTTTAGAGCTAGCTCAGTCCTGCCACAAGACACCCCAAGCGCTGCTGGTGGAAGTGCGGGCAGCTGTACTGATGATCTATAATAGAGGCCAGCCAGCAGAGCCGGCAGATTAAACACTTGCAGACTCAACAGCAGTGCGCTGCGGACCATGCAGAGGAAAGACGGTCCAGGATACCCTTGCACTGTAAGCTACCAGAAACTCGACAAAATACATGAGCTGGTATTTTCAGGGACTGGATGGCAGGCATTGCAGTACTGTGGTCACCGAACAGACCACTCCGGCTTATTGCGTGGAAGTGTCACCAGGTAAGACATGAGTCTAATGATCCCACTGAGCTGAGCCAGAGATCATGGCTCAAGGAGGCCAAGGCAGGTAGAATTTGCAGGGCAGAGTCCTGGAAGGCACAGAGTTATGCAAATAAACAAAAATCCCCGCATAGAAGTCCCCTCCTCGATTTTTCGGTTGAATAGTGATCTGAATATATATAGCATGAAACCTCATGAAGCCAGGCAAGAATAACTTCCCATGAAAAAATAGTAGGGATCTGTAGGATGAACATTTCCTTGAGCTCACAATGAGAAAGAATTCACATCCCCTCTAGCTAAGAGTGTAGAGGCCTTATCAACTATATGGGACATTTAGTAGGGAACTTAGTATGACCACACATTAGAAGCATGGCCAAATCAATTCTAAAACAAAGGCTACTTAATCAACCATCCAAAAGTTCCTGAAAAGGCAAAACACTCTAAAGAAAACAGATTCCAACACTTACCTGTGCAAAATTCAAAATATCAAGCATGCAATAAAATTTTACTAGACATACAAAGAAGCAGGAAATTGTGCCCCATAATCAGGAGAAAAATTAGTCAATAGAAAAGGGCCCAGAAATAAGAGAGTTCAGAAAAAAAGAGCAAAAGCCTATTTGTAGCTAGTTATTATACATATACTCAAAGATGAAAAGGAAACATGAACATGATGAAGAGTGGAATGAAAGACACAAACAATACCTAAATAGGATTTCTAAAAAGAAAAAAAGTGTGAAATGAAAAATCCACTAATAGCAGAGTAGACACTAGAAGAAAAGATCAATAAACATGAAAAGATAATAATAGAAACAATTCACAATGAAATGAAAAAAATGAAGAGAATCAGTTCTCTGTAGACATATACCAAACGGTCTAGTGTACGTGTATCTGGAGTCCAGAAGTAAAGGAGAAATGGGTATAACAGTGGGTAAATGTGAAGAAATAATAGGTGAAAAAATTCCCAAATTTGATGAAACAATGAACCCATAAATCCAAGAAAGTCAATGAACCGTAGGGAGAACAGATCTAAAGAAAGTCACACCAAGGCAGATCATGATCGAATGACTGAAAAAGAAAAAGAAGAGAAAGAGAAAAAAAAATTTTTTTTGAGACAGCTTCCTGAGTAGCTGAGATTACAGACACACGCCATAATGCCTGGCTAATTTTTGTATTTTTATTAGAGCCAGGGTTTCACCAGGTTGGCCAGGCTGATCTCAAACTCCTGACCATAACTGATCCACGGCCTTAGCCTCCCAAACTGCTGGAATTACACGCCTGAGACACCGTGCCTGGCCCCAGAAGAGAAAATCTTCAAAGCATCACACACAAAAAGGCACATCACATGCTGTGGAACAAAGTTAAGAATTATAGCAAAATTTTGTCAGAAACTGCCAATCAATGGTATGATATCCTAAAACTGCTGAAAACCTTTTCACACAAATAAAAGCTGAGGGAATTCATCATAAACAAATCTGCAACTATGAGAAATATTAGAGTAAACCCTTCAGATGCTTACAGTCAGTGGCTACTGCCTGTAATCTCAGCTATTTGAGAGGCTAAAGCAGAAAGGATTGCTTAAGGCCACTTAAACAACAACTTGAGCAGCATAGCTAACCTGAATCTAAAAAAAAAAGTTTTAAAATTAGCTAGGTGTGTTGGCAATATAGCTAGGCTTATCTAAAATATATATATATATATATTTTTTAAATTAGCTGAGTGCAGGCCGGGCATGGTGGCTCATGCCTGTAATCCAAGCACTTTGGAGGCCAAGGCGGGTGGATCACCTGAGGTCAGGAGTTCAAGACCAGCCTGACCAACATGGTGAAGCCCTGTCTTCAAAAAAAATAAATAAGTAAATTAGCTGAGTGCGGTGGCACACCATACTCCCAACTATTTGGGAGGCTGAGGTAGGAGGATGGCTTAGGCCCAGGAGTTTGATGCTGCAGTGAGTGATGACTGCACTCTGCACTCCAGCCCGTGTGACAGAGTGAGACCCGATCTCTTAAATAAATAGAATAAGTAAGTTCTGCATACAAAAGGAACATGATACAAATGGAAATACAGGTCTACACAAAATAATAGAATAAGGAGAAAAGAGACTAAACGTAAAAGGTATTTCTCTCATTTTAAATATCTTTAAAAGATAGTCTAGTGAATTTTATCAAACAAGGAGGAATTTATACCAACCCTTCACAAACTCTTACAAAACACTGAAGAGGAACCATTTCCCAACATATTGTATGAGGTAAGTATTACCCTGCCACCGAAACCAAAGACATCACAAGAAAAGAAAACTGCTAACCAATAAGCTCACAAACGTAGACACAAGAATTCTGAACAAAATACTAGCAAAGTATTATACACCATGACTAAGTGGGATTAATCCCAGGAATGCAGGATCCATTCACCATATGAAAGTCAGTGTCATACACCATATTAGTAGAATACAAAACAAAACAGATGGTCATCTGAATAGATGCAAGGAGCAAAATTTGACAAAACCAACAGTCTCTCACAATAAAGTTCACTAGAAACTCAGTGCCCAGGATTTTTTATTGGGCACCTTCTGCATGTAGGCACACTGCCTAGCCTGTACCAAAATGTCAGATTCCCAGCTGGAGAGCAGGTGTTCTGCATAAACCATGTTGTCTGTATTAACAGTTTAGGCATAGTAAGCCACCCTGATCAGAAACGTAGGTTTCTAGAGCCCACCCAAGAGTCAACCTTACAGGAGAGCCTTTCTAAGTATAAATAGTTATGCTTGCTATGTTTAACTGTTTTCTGCACAGCAAGGGACCCACCCAAAATAGCCAAAACTATCTGGAAAAAAGAACAAATTTGGAAGACTCATACTTCGGATTTCAGAACTTCTACAAAGGTATAATAGTCAAAACTATGTCCTGCTGGCACAAGGATAAACATATCAATCACCTTAATAAAACTGAGAGTTCAGAAATAAACTCTTACATTTATGGCCAATTAATTTTCAACAAAGGGGCCAAGACCGTTCAATTGGCAGAGCACAGTCTTTTCAACAAATGGTGCTGGAAAAATTGGATAGCCACATGCAAAAGAGTGATTGTGGACACCTATCTTATATCACACAAAATTTAACTCAAAGTAAATCAGAGACCTAAATGTAAGCAAGAAAACTACAAACACTTAGAAGATAAAACAGGATTAAGTCTTTATTACATCTGATTAGATGACCACTTGTTAGATACAGCAAAAACACAGCAACACAGTAGATTGGAATTGAAATTTAACAAAATGTTTGTGCTTCAAAACAACTATTAAGAAAGTAAAATGACAACCCACAGAATGGGAAAGCCATTTCCATTGTAAGAGTTATTCTGGATACAAGTCCCTTATCAGTACGTGATTATATTACAGTAAATCATGTACTGATAAGGGACTTGTATCCAGAATAACTCTTGCAACTCAATAATAAAAAGACAAAGAACCTCAAATAACCCAGTTTTAAAATGAATAAATGACCTGAATAGACATTTGTCCAGGGAAGATATACAAATGGACAAATAAGCACATGAAAACCAAAACCATCATGCCTGTAATCCCAGCACTTTGGGAGGCTGAGGTGGGCGGATCACGAGGTCAGGAGATGGAGATCATCCTGGCCATGGTGAAACCCTGTCTCTACTAAAATACAAAAATTAGCTGGGCATGGTGGCACAGGCCTGTAATCCCAGCTACTTGGGAGGCTGAGGCAGGGTAATCGCTTGAACCTGGGAGACAGAGATTGCAGTGAGCCGAGATCATGCCACTGCACTCCAGCCTGACGACAGAGCAAGACTCCATCTCAAAAAGAAAAAGAGCCGGGCGCGGTGGCTCAAGCCTGTAATCTCAGCACTTTGGGAGGCCGAGGCGGGTGGATCACGAGGTTGAGAGATCGAGACCATCCTGGTCAACATGGTGAAACCCCGTCTCTACTAAAAATACAAAAAATTAGCTGGGCATGGTGGCACATGCCTGTAATCCCAGCTACTCAGGAGGCTGAGGCAGGAGAATTGCCTGAACCCAGGAGGCGGAGGTTGCGGTGAGCCGAGATCGTGCCATTGCACTCCAGCCTGGGTAACAAGAGCGAAACTCTGTCTCAAAAAAAAAAAAAAGAAAAAAAAAGAAAGGGGCCGGGCACGGTGGCTCAAGCCTGTAATCCCAGCACTTTGGGAGGCCGAGGCGGGTGGATCACAAGGTCGAGAGATCGAGACCATCCTGGTCAACATGGTGAAACCCCGTCTCTACTAAAGATACAAAAAATTAGCTGGGCATGGTGGCACGTGCCTGTAATCCCAGCCACTCAGGAGGCTGAGGCAGGAAAATTGCTTGAACCCAGGAGGCGGAGGTTGCGGTGAGCCGAGATCGTGCCATTGCACTCCAGCCTGGGTAACAAGGGCGAAACTCCGTTTCAAAAAAAAAAAAAAAAAAAGAAAAAGAAAAAGAAAACCAAAACCACAATGAGATACCACTTCCCACTCATTAGGATGGCATATATATGTTCGTCATATGCCACATAATGCTGTTTTAATCAACAACAGACCACATATACGACAGTAGTGTAGCGCCATAGTTTATAATGGAGCATATGTAGAAGAAACCTGATACGTGGCACTTGATATTGACATTGTATATTAAGTCAGGGAAATTATTTATACTCGGTAATGGTGCTGAGACATTTACTTTTCCATATGAGAAATATATATAAATAAAAAATGTATATGCCATCTATGTTTGTTTAAGTATACTCTATGATGTTTACACATGACAAAACAGTCTAACAAAGCAGAACATATACCTGTCATTATATTACACATGTCCCTCCCTCTCTCTCTCTCTCTCTCTCTCTCTCTGCTGATGGAAATGTAAAATGGTACAGCCACTGTGGAAAACAGAGTTACCATATGATCCAGCAATTCCACTCGAGGGGTATACCCAAGGTACTGAAAACAGGGATTCAAACAGTTATGAATATTTTACCACACCATTTATGTACGTTTATGTATACTTTACCACACCAGTTAAAGAAGATACAAGGTATACCACTTCACATCCTCAAGGATGGCTATGCTACTAATAAAAAAAAGACAGTAACAAGCATCAGTGAGAAGAAATGGGGACCCTCATACATTGCCGTGGAAATGTAAAAGGGTGCTGCCACTGTGAAAAACAGTTCGGCAGTTCCTCAAAATGTTAAAAACAGAGTTTCCATATGGCCCAGGAATTCCCAGCAATACTCAAGAGATATGAAAACATACGTCTACAGAGATCCTTGTATATCAGTGTTGATAGCAGCATTGTTCATAATTGCCAGAAAGTAGAAAGAACTTAAATTCTATCAACTGCTAAGTAAAATGTCGTAGAGCCATTCAGTGGACTATTATTCAGAAAAAAAAAAAAAAAAAAAAAAAAAAGCATGCTTAGCAAAAAAAGGCTACATACTATATGATTCCATTTATATGAAATATCCAGAGTGAGCAAATCTATAAAGACAAAGGGTAGGTTAGGGATTGTCTCAGGCTGTAGAGGTTGGGGAAATGGGGATGACTGCTAATGGATATAGGATTTCTTTATGGAATGATGAAAATGTTTGAAAACTTATTGTGGTAATAGTTGCACAACTCAGGACTATATGAAAAGTGATGGAATTGTACACTTTAAATGAGTAATTGTATATCAATAAAGCTGTTTCAAAAAGACATTCTAAATAAAAAATAATAGCAGTGTATTGTGGAGTATGTTTTATATTTAAAATTAAAATATGTAGTAACCACAGCACAAAGCATGGAAAGAGAAAATGGAAACACTATGAAAGATCTGACATTTTACATGAAATGTGTAATATTATTTTCCTATAGACTATAAGTTAAAGATATATATAGTGTAAACCCTAAAGTCACCATTAAATATTTAAAATAAAGACGCATAGCTAATAAGAGAATAATTACTATGCAATAGATTCATAAAAAATTATCACTCTGAAAGAAGACAGAAAAAAAGAACAAACAGAGAAAATAGAAAACAAACAGCAAGATGGTAGGTTTAAACCCAACATTATTGAAAATTACATTAAAGGCTAAATATTTCAATTAATGGCAGAGACTGTTAGATTAGATTTAAAAAGTCAATCCTGACTAGATGCAGTGGCTCATGCCTATAATCCTGGCACTTCGGGAGGCTGAGGTAGAAGCATAGCTTGGGGCCAGGAGTTTGAAACCAGCCTGGATTATACAGTGAGACCTCATCTCTACAAGAACTAAAAACAAACAGGTGTGGTACATGCCTGTATTCTCAAGTCCTTAGGGAGGCTGAGCTAGGATGATCACTTGAGCCCAGGAGTTTGAGGTTACAGTGAGCTATGATTCTAACACTGCACTCCCTTGCTTAAAAAAAAAAAAAAAAAAAAAAAAGTAAGTCCCTACAATACACTACCTACAAGAAACACACTATAAAATAAAGATGGGGCCGGGCACGGTAGCTCACACCTGTAATCCCACCCAGCACTTTGGGAGGCTGAGGTGGGAGGATCATAAGGTCAAGAAATCAAGACCATCCTGGACAATGTGGTAAAACCCCATCTCTATTAAAAATACAAAAATTAGCTGGCCATGGTGGTGGGCACCTATAGTCCCAGCTACTTGGATGCTGAGGCAGGAGAATCGCTTGAACCTGGGAGGCAGAGTTTGCAGGGATCTGAGATTGCACCACTGTACAACAGCCTGGTGACACAGTGAGATTCTGTCTCAATAAATAAAAAAAAAAATAAATAAGAACATAGATATAAAGTAAAAGAATAGGAAAAGACGTACACAAACTCAAGAAATTTAAGGCTGGGTGTGGTGGCTCATGCCTGTAATCCCAGCTCTTTGGGAGGCCGAGGTGGGCGGATCACCTAAGGTCAGGAGTTTGAGACCAGCCTAGCCAACATGATGAAACCCCTTCTCTCCTAAAAATGCAAAAATTAGCTGGGCCTGGTGGCAGGGCACCTGTAATCCCAGCTACTTGGGAGGCTGAGGAAGGAGAATCACTTGAACCCAGGAGGCGTAGGTTGCAGTGAGCCAATATCGTGCCATTGTACTCCAGCCTGGGCGACAAGAGTACAACTCCATCTCAAAAAGAAAAAAAAAAAAAAGAAAAGAAAAGAAATTTAAATGACTATATTAATATCAAAGTACACTTCAGAAAAAAATATTAACAGAAATAGAGTCATTACATATTAGAAAAGGGATTGAATCATTAGGAATATACAATCCTAAATGTATATGTACTCAATCGCAAAGTTTTTTTTTTTTAGACGGAGTTTCGCTCTTGTTACCCAGGCTGGAGTGCAATGGCGCTATCTTGGCTCACCGCAACATCCACCTCCTGGGTTCAGGCAATTCTCCTGCCTCAGCCTCCTGAGTAGCTGGGATTACAGGCACGGGCCACCATGCCCAGCTAATTTTTTGTAGTTTTAGTAGAGACAAGGTTTCACCATGTTGACCAGGATGGTCTCGATCTCTTGACCTCATGATCTACCTGCCTCGGCCTCCCAAAGTGCTGGGATTACAGGCTTGAGCCACCGCGCCCGGTACAAAGTTTTAAAACATGAAAATAAAACTGAAAGAATAGCGAAAGCTACAATTACAGTTGCAGATTTCAGCATTCCTCTTTCAGCAAATAATAGGGCAAGCAGACAAAAAATACTGTCAGGAATAAGACTTGAGTAACACTGTTGACAAACCTGACCTAATTGATATTTATTTAACAGTTGGCAATTTTCACTCTTCTCTCAGCAACTCATACATTTAGAGAAAATAAATCAGTAAAGATATAAAAGTGTCTTTTAAAAAAGACTATCAATTTGATCTAACTGGTATTTACAGAACACTCCAGCCAACCAAAGCAGAATACACATTCTTTTCAAGTACACTTGAAATTAAAGTAGTATATTAGCCAGGCATGGTGGCATGTGCCTGTACTCCTAGCTACTCAGGAGGCTGAGGCAGGAGAATCGCTTGAACTTGGTGGGCAGAGATTGCAGTGAGCCAAGATCGCACCACTGCACTCCAGTCTGGGCAACAGAGCAAGACTCTGTCTCAAAAAAAAAAAAAAAAAAAAAAAAAAGTAGAAAATGAAAAAATCAATAGAGAAAATGAATACAACCCAAAGCAGGTTCTTTGAAAAAATAATATAATGATAAACCTCTAGTCCAAGGATTGGCTGACATTTTCTATAAAGGGTCAGATAAATATTTTGGAATTCACAGGCCACATGATTTATTCAACTTGCAACTACTCAACTCTGCCACTGTAGCATAAAAGCAGGCAAAGACAACATGTAAATAAATGAGTGTGGCTGTGTTCTAATACACTGTTTATAAAAAGCAAGCAGGAGCATGGAGATGGAGACAGAGCAATAGAGAGATGATAGAGAGAGAGATAGAAGAGACAGAAAGAGAACACAAATTGCCAAAATCAGGAATGAGAAAGGGACATGACTACAGATCATACAGCCTCCACGATCAGCTAGTCACTCCAGGGAACCCCTACCCCATCCATGGAGCGGGAAGGAATGCAGAAATCACATGAAGGTTTGTGCCTTCAGCCTTCAATGCTGGCATGCATTTATTTATTTAGTAACTAATTTATGCGAACAGGCAAAACAAAGATCCCTGGCCTTGTCGATCTTACCTTCTGAATCAGGGAGATTAAGAATAAACAATGTACATAATACATTTGTAGATTATCCATCGTGTTAGGAGTTCACAAAAACTGTGAAGAAAAAAGGAAAGGCAGGACAAGGGAGGGAGAGTGGAAGTGCTGAGAGTTTAAAATGGTTTGAAGACCCACCCAGGAAGGTCTTATTGAGGAATTAACATTTGAGCAAAGATGTGAAGGAGGTGATAGAGCAAGCCACGGGAAAGACACAGGGCCTGAGGCAGAGCCATCCCTGGAACATCTGGGGAACAGCCGAGGCCAAAGTTGTTAGGGGAGAGAAGTGGAAGGAGTGATCAGAACCTAAGGGGAAGCAATCACAATAAGGCCTTATGGTCTAAGGTGTGAAATGGGTGGGAAGCCCAGGAGGAGAGGGGATGCCAACACTGGGGGGATGAATAAAAGGAAAAAGGTCAACAAAAACTTAGATAAACAATGGGGCTTCCCAAATCCCCACAGTAAGGTCACTCTAAGAGCTGGACCCTCCAGTCCTGGGGTCAAGGAGGAGCTAGAAAGATCCCTCCTCCCTCCTTCTTGCACAAGGACATGCAACCTGGGGAGAGAGGATACCTACCCGACCGTTCTCTATCTCTCGACAGGCCATCAGGATGACCTAAACAAGGACATCAGGGGAGAGGAAGGTGGTTGGGTTAGGAAGCTCACCTAGGGAAACCACCGAGGGGGTACTTAGAGGTTGAGCCCACCGTCCTGCCCTGCCCCCAAGTGCTGACCTTGACCCCAAACTCCCAGATCAGTCGCCAGAAGTCTAGCAGGGTGTGAGGCAAGGGTCCTTGTGTGGCGATGTAGGCCCGGTTTCCATCCGCACCCTGGTGAAAGCCGCATTCACTACTGAGATTCTGCTGCCCACCCCTGGCCACCCCCAATCCACCTCTCCACCTCCTTCCAAGATCCCAACCCTCACCCGGATGAAGTTGCCATTAATGTAGTCACTGTGTCCCTCTTCCTGGAGCAGAGAGAGGATCACTCGCGTCTGATCATCTGTCAGCAGATAAGAAACGTGGAGTTTGGGGAGGATAGGGTGGCCAAGGCTCCGACAGTTCCCTGGCCGAAAGCCAGCAGGGACCGCACACCTGCAGAGACCCCAACGAGGTGCCCTCGTGGGCTGCTGAGCAGTGCAGAGGGTGAGAGTTTGGGAGGGGAGCGCAGCGGGTAACCCCAGTGCACACTGACGCCTGGACTGCGGCGGGGCCTGCGCCGCTGCACCCACTCCTAGCAGAAGACCCGACTTACAAGGCAGCACATCTTTGTAGCGGTTCTTCCTGACGTTCCCCGGCTGACTGCCGGCCTCGGTGGAGCACACGCCGTCAGCCTTCCAGGCGGCGGAGCGGGCCTGAATGTCCTGGTGGAGCATCGTGAGTGCGCCGGGGAGGGGAAAAGACGGAAGAGGAGCCAGGTCAGAGTCCCGGGCCACCTAGGCGCGCACAGGATACAAGGCCAGTGGCCTGGGGAGGTGAGTGCAGACCCCGAAGGCACCCGGCCTGCCTAATAAAAATGATACAGCAATAGCGACCCAGAGCACCTTCTCTGTGCCAGTCTCTGCGCTAAGGGCATGTAATTATCACTGGTTCCTACGACATGGGTACTGACTTCCCCATTGTGCAGGCGGGAAGGTTTCTGCACTTCGTGGTTGAGTGACTTGTGGAAGGTCCCAACTAGGAAGTCTCATGGTGAGGGTGGAACTCAGACCTCTTGGCACTCACCCCTTGCACTCACTCTGTGATATTGTCCTGTAAGCAATAACTGTGATGAAATATGTGTTATATAGCTAAACATATAAGACAATGTACAATGCATTGGCATTATAATGGATAACATATACTATATGTACTGTGTTACATCTTGTGTTAGTATCTTGTACAGTGCAAGATACTATAGGTACTGTGTTACTGTGAGATTATAATAATAATCGTAAATAGTGTATTACCATCACCATCAGGTATTCATAATCTCAGTGATAATAAGTAACACCTACTGTGCCACCACTGTGTGCCAGCCACCATTCTAAGTGCTTTACTTATGTCCATTGAGTCATTTAAGCCCTCATGATGCCCGCGTGTAGTGGGTACACCTAGAAAACCCCACCAATTCCTGCACATGTGGGAGGCAGGCTCGGGGAGCAGGGGTACCCTCACCACCCAGCCTTCCACATGTGAGGCCCTCAGTGATGTGCAACCCAACCAGTCACATGATGTCATATATCAAATGGGTATTATGTTTACGTTTGTCATATACTTTTTTTTTTTTTTTGAGACAGTCTGGCTCTCCTGCCCAGGGTAGAGTGCAGTGGCATGGTCTCAGCTTACTGCAACCTCCACCTCCCAGGTTCAAGCAATTCTCCTGCCTCAGCCTCCCTAGTAGCTGGGATTAGAGGCATGAGCCACCATGTCCAGCTAATTTTTATGTATTTTTAGCAGAGATAGGTTCTCACCATATTGGCCAGGCTGGTCTCAAACTCCTGGCCTTGTGATCTGCCCACCTCGGCCTCCCAAAGTGCTGGGATTACAGGCGTGAGCCATCGTGCCCAGTCTATATTTTAATATTGTATAATTATACATTTTACATTTATTATGCATTTCTTAGATATGGCATTTCTACATATGTAGAAATTACTTACTTGTTTGTAATTATCTGTTATATATTTTATATTTACTTATGAATTTATCAAATAACCTTGGTCATTTTATAAATTATATTCTTTATTTGTTCTATTTGTTGTATTGTTTCATGCAGTTATACAATGTTTATTGTATAAATGGTTATTTACAATATTTTTATATATTATTTTTTCTTTTTTTTCTCCTTTTTTGGTTCTATGAGAAAACATATTATTTCTAAATTTGATATGCGTCACCATATATCAGTTTACACGTTTGTATGGTATGTTTCTATGTCTGGTACATAAGCTATTACACTTTAAGCATGTCATTGACTGTAGTGTACAGTGACTAGGACGCCGCGTGAGCCTTCCTGACGCTGGGCTTGCACTGTCCGTATTGTAACATTTAGATTTTTTGTTTGAGATGGGGTCTTGCTCTGTCACCCAGGCTGGAGTGCAATGGCCCAGCTCAGCTCACTGCAACTTCCGTCTCCCTGGCTCAAGCGATTCCTCTGCCTCTGCCTCCCTAGTAGCTGGGATTACAGGCATCCGCTACCACGCGCAGCTAATTTTTCTATTTTTAGTAGAGACAGGGTTTTGCTGTGTTGCCCAGGCTGGTCTCGAACTTCTGAGCTCAAGCGATTCTTCCGCCTCGGCATCCCAAAGTGCTGGGATTACAGGCCTGAGCCACCGCGCCGGGGCCCACGTTTAGAATCTTTATAGGCAGTGACAAACGCCCCTATGAAGTGCACGCACGATATGTGCTAAGCGCTTTTCACCCACCCCAGTTTGGTCATTCATGTTCTCATTTCACCAAGGGAGAAGCCGAGGTCTGAGGCGCCAGGTAAACCGCCCGGACCACAGCCCTACGGCCCCGGATGCGGATTCGAGCCCGGCGTTCACACCCTCACCGCGCCAGGGCCTCCGGGTTCCTCTTGGCCCTGCTGCGGCCCCTTCCTTCCTCCGGTCACAGGAGACAGTTAGGTCGCCAAGAGCGGCAGGGCCAGGGCTGTCCAGCGTGTCCAGAGTACCGGGGGCCGCCGGCCCTCCCCTGCGGAGCCCGCCCCGCCTGTCCCGCCCGCAGCCGGGTTATTCCGGGAGCGCGACCAGGACACCGGGAGCGGTGGTGTGCACGATCTGTCCCGACCCGACTATGGACGTTGCGCTCCGGGGCCGGTGGGCAGAGAGTGAAGACGGAGACAGCGAGAGCGACAGAAAAGTGCTGGGGAGAGAAACAGGGAGAGACTCCCCGAGGCGGGGAGACACCCGGGACACCGAGACAGAGAGGCAGAGCCCGCAGGGCACGGAGGACAGGCGCCCGCGGGGCCAGGGCCGGGACGCGCAGCTCCCGGATCCCGCGAGCCACTCACGCTGAACTCGCCGGCGAGGACCGCCGCCTCCCGGTCGCCGCGCGCTTCCAGACGCTCCAGGAAGCTCTGCGCCGCGTCCAGGCTGCGGCTCATGGCGCCGCGGGCCAGCAAGGTCCAGCCCTGCCGCTGCGCTCCGCGCCCGCAGCGAGTGTAGACGCCGCGGGAGGCGGAGGCCGGCGGCTGAGCCTCCGCCCCGGCCTAGGCAGCCAATGGAAGCGCGCAGCGGCGGGGAGGGCGACACGGCCAGGGTGTTCTGAGCCCGCGCAGCCCCGCCCCGGGCGCTCGGGCCTCTGTGGCGGGAGCCCTTGGTCCTCATCCGAGCAGAGCCCAGCGCTGGCGCTTCCTTTTTTTTTTTTTTTTTTTTTTTTGTGGCTGCCGCGCCCACAGGTGGGGCCGCACAGTCCCAGGAACACTCTCTCCGGCTTGGACCCGCCCCCAGTCCGGGATCGGCGCCCGGGGCCGATGTCCGGGTGCGGGCTTTGGGTGGACGGCCGCGCGGTCTCGCCGGCGGGGACCCCGGGTCGGGGGCGTTCGGCGCTGTGCGCTCCAGGCCGGCCCAAGGGAGGCCGGGGCTGAGGCAGCCGCGCTGTGGGAAAGGCCAAGTGGCAGCCGGATCTTCTCTGCGTACTTTCCGAGGAATTTGTGGTTGCTCCTTTTCCCGTATGGGCTGGGCGGCGCCGGGGCACCCGGGTCAGCCCTTTGTGAGCATCTCGACCTGCATAAGCCTGCTGGGAAGCAGAACTGAGGCAGTGGGAGTTGGTTCTGGGGAACGAATAGCTTCTCTTTTCTGCCTGCCCTGGCACTCCCATTTGTGCAGAGGTCAGAGGAGAACTACTGTGCCAGCTTCCGGGGTCACCGAGGGGAGGCTGGAGAGAATGGACCAGCACCTGGGGTCCTTCAAGGACAGGCCTGGATTAGCCCCCTTCTCACCGAGGTTGGAAGAATTAAGGCGGGTGTCACTGGAAGGGGCGTCAGTGGACACCGGTTTGAGGTCGTTGAGGGGTGGAAAGGCAGGACTGGGGCCTGGATGTGTGCCTGAGTCACTAAAGGGTCAACAGGGGAATAATGTCAGGTGGTCAGTTTAATACACTAGAGGTCATCAGATTATTATTTAAGGGCACACTTTTGCCGGGCGCGGTGGCTCACGCCTGTAATCCCAGCACTTTGGGAGGCCGAGGCGGGTGGATCACGACGTCAAGAGATCGAGACCATCCTGGTCAACATGGTGAAACCCCGCGTCTACTAAAAATACAAAAAATTAACTGGGCATGGTGGCACATGCCTGTAATCCCAGCTACTCAGGAGGCTGAGGCAGGAGAATTGCCTGAACCCAGGAGGCGGAGGTTGCGGTGAGCCGAGATCGCGCCATTGCACTCCAGCCTGGGTAACAAGAGCGAAACTCTGTCTCAAAATAAATAAATAAATAAATAAATAAATAAATAAATAAATAAAAAGGGCACACTTTTTTTTTTTTTTTTTTTTTTTTTTTTTTTTTTTGAGATGGAGTTTTGCTCTTGTTACCCAGGCTGGAGTACAATGGATGGCGCGATCTCGGCTCACCGCAACCTCCGCCTCCTGGGTTCAAGCAATTCTCCTGCCTCAGCCTCCTGAGTAGCTGGGATTACAGGCGTGCGTTAAGGGCACACTTTCTTAAAGGGCCAGGTGGGAAGGGATTTTGGCTTTACCATCTCTGTCCCAGCTGCTTAACTCAGCTGTGGCAACATGAAAGCAGTGTGGCTGTATCCTAATGAAACTTTATGTAATAGAAATGAGAATTTCATGTAATTTTCATGTATCATGACTTGCGTGTGTGTGTGTGTGTGTGTCCTACAGGCTGTCGTTTGCTGACCTTGGCTTAAGTGGTGGAGAAATCAAAGTCGGAGATCAGTAGCTAGGGCGGTTTCATTTATTGTGGGGTCGGAAGAGGTCACTGTGAAATCCATGTTCATCATTTATCAGTTTCATCTTTGAGCATTCTAAGGGAGGTGAGTAGTGATCGTTTAGGATGGTAGTGATAGGGAATTCATTAGAAGTCAGTCAGGGTCCCTTGGATGTTCATGGGGGCTATCAGTCATTGGGAGGCCCAGTGAATACTTGGGACAAGAAGTGAAAGTAATTGGGCCATTGGGATTTGCGGTGTAACTGAGGGGTCAGAAGAGTTAGGGAAGTCATGGAGAGCTTCTGCTCAGTTCACTATCATGACTCTCAGTGTATCACTGAGGTTTCGTGGGTGGCCAGGGAGAGAGAGCCAGGGAGGTAGAATACAAAAGCCTCAGTGAGCTTTCAGAAAAGGACTTTTCTGGGGAAGTTATGAAGGCTGAGCCCCTGAGCACTCATGGTTGTTAAGGATGGTCATTATGGGCTACTGGATACCAGAGCACTAAGGGGTCGTGAAAGGTATCTCTGGGATGGTGGTGGTCATGGATGTCACTGGAGGTCAATGGCCACTGAAGACTGGGTGGTACCTGGCCTTTGGCAGCAGTGAGGGGTAAATGGACCATCCATGGTTCTAAGTAGGGGACAAGGAGGCTGACCCAGTGACTAGGGTGTCTGCCTGGCTAGCCGAGGGTCTTCTGTCCAACTAGGGGGTGGAAAGTCCTTCCATGTGACCTGGGAGGAGGGTCTATCTGTCCAGCTACCTTGAGGGTTTATCTATCCAGCTGGCTGGCAGAATCTCTGTCCAGCAGCAGGGATCCTGCTGAGGGCCTGTTCTCATAGGCTGAGGTCTGCCTCTCCAGCTTGTGGTTGACTGGGTAGGCAGGGTGTTCTCTAGTAATATCTCTTTGTCCATTTGGGGGAAGGAGCCTGTCCTTGAGGGATTCTGACCTTTGTCTGGCTGGGGGGGCCCAGCTGTCTCTCTGGCAACAGGTCTGTTTCACTGGGTGTCGGTCTTCCCATCTGTCAGTAATCCATGTCTGTCCAGATGGGAGTGTTTCCCTGGGCATCTGTCTATCTGGAATCTGTCTGGGCAGGGGTGTGTGTGTGTGTGTGTGTGTGTGTGTGTGTGTGTGTGTGTGTTTGGTGGTTTGTGTATTACAGGATCTGAGTGACTAGCCAGATGCTGCCTTGTGACCTGTGAACATTAAGTGGCTGAGGCTGTGGTCTGTCATTTTTACTTCCAGCTGCCTTAAGTGTCTTTCTGCTCTCGTGTTCACCTTCACTACAAGCACCCGCCTTGTTTTCTTTTGAGATGAAGTCTCGCTCTTGTCCCCCATGCTGGAGGGCAATGGTGGTGGTCATGGATGTCATTGGAGGTCAATGGCCACCGAAGACTGGGTGGTACCTGGCCTTTGGCAGCAGTGAGGGGCAAATGGGCATCTTGGATCACTGCAACCTATGCCTTCCAAGTTCAAGCCATTCTTTTGCCTCAGCCTTCCAAGTAGCTGGGATTACAGGCGCCTGCTACCACACCCGGCTGAATTTTATATTTTTAGTAGAGACGGGGTTTCACCATGTTGGCTAGGCTGGTCTTGAACTCCTGACCTCAGGTGATCCACCAGCCTCAGCCTCCCGAAGTACTGGGATTACAGGCGTGAACCACCATGCCTGGCACCCCTCCTTGTTGTTGAACCCCCCTGCCATCCTGACATCTGACCGTCCCTCATGTCCCTCCAAACATCCAGATTCTTAGCTTGCCTTCTGTTCAGCTCAGGCTGGGTGTGGGAGATGGGAGGACCCCACAACCTCCAGAGGCCCTGGCCCACCCCAGCTCTCCTGTCCCGGAGGACTGCCAGCTGTGTTCTTGCAGCGAGAGTCGCTGCTGCTGGTGGCCCTCCTGTTCACCCTGCCAGCAGCAGTCTTGCACAGCGGGAGCAGCTGGCACTGCTGCAGAGCCCCCAAGCATGCCAAAGTCCATGTGCCACATGCCAGTCTGTCACCTGCCCACCAGTCAGTGTGGCCACACAGGCCGCTCCACAGAGCCGACGGGCCAAGGTGCCGGAAGACGCGCAGGGACGCACGAATAAGGCTGTGAGTTCAGCCTGCGCCGAGGCTGCACAGGGGAAAAGGAACTACAGTGGAGACATCTGGCAGACAACCCTTCCTCCTGGAGGCTTCTGGGGAACTCCGTGGGGACTGCTGGCATCGCCAGGGTACGGTTCTTCTCAAGCGTCCTTTTTTGCTTAGTTAAAAAAGGGCAGAAGACTGGATCCAAAATGCTTCAGTTAGAATTCTGGCACCATGACTCAGTGTGACCTTGGGTGAGTCACTTAATTTCTCTGTCTCAATTCCCTCCTCTGTAGGATGGGAACAATAGTCTCTCTTCTTGTTGCTTTATTGTGAGAATTTAAGGAAATCATTGTACATAAAGCATGTAGATAGAACAGCCCTTCAAGCTGGGTGAGCTGTACTGTTGGCTTATCCGCAAGTCTGGCATTTAGCGAACAGGAAAAAGGCCACCCACTTCGGTGCAAGAGGAAGCTTGTGGCGGCGTCCCCCTCCCATCCCTGAGAGCTGTAGGGCCTCTGGGACACCTTTGTTCCTGTCTCATTTAACTCTCCTCAGGTGTGCCAGGTTTCAGTGTTCTGAATCAAAGACTCCTCCTGGTTCCTCCCTGGGAAAGGGTCAGCAGCTCAGAGCTGGGGAAACACAGGCCAAGGAGAAAGCCACCCTTCCCCTTCTCAGCCCTCCCACCAAACCCCACAATCCCCAGCTCTTTGTGGAGACTGACCTGCTGCCCTCAGGACTGCCCTGCAATTCTGCTTCAGAAAGCGGGGAAAACCATTGGGAATACAGGGGAAAGCCCTCTTCCCCATTTTTAAAATGCTCATACCAACTTTTCCCCCACCTCTCCAGGGCAGAGCCTGGGTACCTGCATTGCCCAGAGCAGGCCCCTGATGGGCCCCTGGAGGAAATAAACTCAGGCAGACAAGTGCTCCAACAGCAACAGCATTCAGGGACTTCTGTGACTGACAGGCCTGATCAGGCTGCTGCCTGCACAGCTTGCAGTTTCTACACCTGATGCCAGCCCAGCTTCAGCACACTTCCTCTGTATGCGGTGCTTTGTTTAGAAAAGACCAACTGGCCATGTTATTGTCAGCAGATGCCAGCTGGGGTCCTGCATGGATAGAGCCGTCTGCGGGCCCTGATCGCACAGCCCATTATCATGGCTGAGTGCAGTTCCCAAGACGACCAAAGGGATGCATGCATCCACCTGCATCAGCTTCTGCCCCTCAGTTATAACACCAGAGAGAAATGAGTGTGTGTAAACACCTCTGGGAGGAGTCCTGTAGCAAGGGGCACCC